TAATCAGAATTTGTAAATTACGATATTTACACCTCAATGTATTGACAGTTTCTTGTCCTAATGGTTGATATGGTAATGTAAACTTGGTTCTTATTGACAAACTAGAATGTATAGTACTTGCACCAATTGCAAAAGCCGAAACACCTGTCGGCCCTGTTAATAACACAGAACAATCATCTAAGTTTTCTGAAGTTTTAGCTAAAATTCTAGAAGCCTCATAATTTATACATTTTATTACGTGACTTTTCCCACTTCCAGCGGAACCTGTTATGAACAATCTTAATGAATCAGGATTTTTACCATGTACTTTATCTAAACAATATTGTCGAACTTTATAAAATACTCTGGACTGAATGTCATTTAATGACCTTAATAATGGAATAGCATCACCTTTAGAGATTCCACTTATATTATTTTCAGATCTAATTCTATCACTGTTACCTTCATCAGAAATAATATCTGGGATTTGTGGCTCTGAATTATCTTCTTGTTCAGTATCATTCTCATTTCGAAATCTTTCAGTTTCAATTCTTTCCATTTCAGTTTCAGGTGCAATACTAGCCCAGGCATCTTGAAAATCACCACATTTTTCTATAACTTCTGCAATCGAATCAATATCTATATCAGTTTCAAATAGTCTACGATTCTGTTCAACAATTTCTTTAACAGACACAATTTGTTCAGAGATTTTTACATGTCCTGATTTATAAAACTCTTCATGTGTTTCGAATTGAGGTGGTTTTAACTGTGTGTCAACACGATATGTTAAAAACAATTGAAGACTACTGAGGTAATAATTTTCAGGATCTTTTGTCACAGAAAATCTGGCATAACGAACTATAGCAGGTGGAGATCTTGTACGTTTTATAATAAAACCTAAATCATTTTGTAATTCAAAAGCAGGATTTTTCTCTGAACTGATATTAGGATTTTCAGATTTAGACATTACTCTATACTCTGAGCAGAAAGTAGCAATACACATATCATCAAATGGTTTGCCTTTAGGTCTAGCTAAATAACGATCAATTGTGGAAGTCATAAACAAATTATAATCTGACAATGTTCCATCTTTAGCTCTACTTTGTAAAACTTTCAGTGGGAGAGTTACTCTAATATTATTCTTACCAGTAGGTATAAACTGAACTTTTCTAGAACATTGTTTTAAAGGTAAACCTAAAACTCTTACAGCACTTTCTGGACCAGAAACTTCTCTAGAATGTAAATAAGTAGTTGATATTTTACGCATACAAGCTTTGGCATCCAAATTATTTTGTTTAGCTTCTTTAAATGTTTCACGTAATAACAAACCCATTTCTCTTTCAGCCTTAGTAATATATGAAACAATATAAATAATACATGCATAAGCATTAGTTACATATTGTATGTCTAAGTTTGCATTCCAGGCTCTCAACATATGTGGATTATACTGATTGATCCAGCTTGCATTTACACCTCTTTTTAATACTATATATGTCTTTTTAGTTAGTTTTTCACAGGCTTGTTCAAACATTTCTTGACTAATAGACAATTCATCATATAAACTAGACAATGACTGATAGTTTTTGTCTTCAGACGACAATTCTTTCCAAATAGATTCTAGAATACATCGAGATTGATCTGTAGTTAAAGTATTTTTATTGTCAATATTTATGTCATTACTTTCAGTATTTTCATCTTGCTCAGTAGAATTCTCAGTTTCTAATGGTCGACAAATAAATGTTTTATCAGAAGGA